ATTAGTGGTGATCTACTCGGTCACAGGGTTCTCCTTTGGTTTGAACGTGCTCGTGGAATTGATTGTCGGGTATGCCATTCCGGGTAACGGTGTGGCGTTGATGACCTTGAAGGCTATTGGTTACAATATTGATGGTCAGGCTGAGAATTATATTACGAACCAGAAGATGGCCCACTACTCCAAAGTTCCACCTATGGCTCTCTTTAGGGGTCAGATGTTGGCAACCGTTGTTCAGTGTTTTGTCTCGTTGGGTGTTATGAACTGGGTTCTTTCAAATGTCGATGGTCTTTGTACCCCTCACCAAGCTCAAAAGTTCTCTTGTCCTAATGATAGATCATTTTTCTCCGCTTCAATTATTTGGGGTGTGATCGGACCAAAGCGAGTCTTCAACGGGTTGTATCCAATCCTCAAGTGGTGTTTCTTAATCGGAGCATTGTTGCCAATCCCGTGTTACGCCTTTAGGCGGTACGGTCCAAAATCTGTTACTAGAGTTTTCCAGCCAACCTTGATTATCGGTGGCATGTTGAACTTCGCTCCTTATAACTTGTCCTATTACACCGGGGGTTTGTACCTTTCCTACGCCTTTATGTACCACATTAAGAGACGGTACAGTGACTGGTGGGAGAAGTACAACTATGTGTTAACTTCTGGCTTGAGTGCGGGTGTCGCGTTTTCTTCAATTATCATCTTTTTTGCGGTTCAGTATCACGCTAAGAATGTTGACTGGTGGGGTAACAACGTGCCATATGCAGGAGTTGATGGTGGGAACGGGCAACAGTCGCGTCTTAATGCCAGCGCTTTACCAAATGGTTACTTTGGGCTTGCGCCAGGCTCCTATCCTTAGTTGATGCAAGAGCACTTAGATCTTTGCTTAAACATAGGTTTCTCTTTTTCAAATTTTGTAAGCGACTTAGGTGTGTATACTAGTCTTTTGTAAGGGAATAGTGGTTTCTTTCATTTTATTTGTTTTCTGCTTATCTTTGGTCTATCGTAGATTGTTGATAGATGGAATGAAATCCGAAATATAAACCTTAGTTACTTCCCCGCACTTCTTAAACGTTGTGAATTGCTTATCGAGCAAAGGATCGAAGGACCGCGAAGCGTACGTACATATCCGATTATCGTATCCCTACGATGACAGAATCAGTGGAAGATTCACGGTTGCACGTAGTAGTAACCAATTTACCCACACATCAACTGGAAAGGAGTATAGTGACTCTGTAACATACATTTCTAAAGATGTGCAACTTTCGAAAAAGTTGAGTAGTGACCATGTAGAATGAAACATGTCTGTTTAGGGAGTAGCATTCTGTTGTGTGCGCCAAGAGATACAGGCGGGTGTTTAAATGACTGAATTATCGTTTCGGTGATGCAAAGACCAGCTAAACCGCACAACTGTGCTGGCGGTACAAAAATATCCTGCACGAATGTCTAAGTTGCTAAGTTGCATCGCCGCTTTATTTCTCTAGGAGGAGCCTCTTTGCCCTCTGCTTTCAAAGCCCCTTGACGCGTGCCAGATACTTAATTGGCGCTAAAATATCTAATTCCTAGAGTGCTTTTTCTGGGGTGGCTTGAAATGTTTAAACAACCAGATACTTCATCTCCATCAAACATCCAATGACATGCAGTCGTATGCACCATACTCTACGACCGTGGTCTGGTGCATGGACAACTGTCTACACCCTCTAGACCAGACAAGCCGAGGTCCGTCTACTTTTTTTTTAATTGGAGCCTTGCATTAAATAGGGTCATGGAATACACAACAGAGGTATTGATCATACAGGGTTTCGTCTAGCATGCTGAGTGATATAACACTTTTAGGCGGTCATTAAAACGCATGACCCTCTGTCGATCTCTGATCATCGGTTACGAAATCTGGGAGCTGACGTTGATAGTAAGAGACTTACTAGTCCCATATGCTTGTTAGCATCTTGGTCAACTGTCGTAGTAATGTTTTGGTAAATAGCTTGGCATATATATCAACCTGGCTCTTCTTGACCCTGACATGACTCTGGAACAAGATAGCCTGTCTTTCCAATACTGTGATTCAACGATTTGTCACTTATCTAACAGTAAATCTGCCTACATCTCTAATTTCGACCGTCTGAGAAGCCCCTTTCGGCCGTGGTACTTCCACCCTTTAATTAATTGCGTCAACCGAAACAACGGATATGCAGTGTCTACCCCGTTCCCCTCCCCCGCATGCTGTCGCATGCCTATGTTTAGATATCCCCTGTGGGGAATGTTCGACCTCCCAACACGGAGGACCCGCGCGGTATTAATTTGTGTTTCTGGTACGTGTATAGGTATAACTCTAATGACTCCCCTAAAAACACATGTACGTGATTGTTCCAGTAAACGAGTATCTATTCGTTGTTTCTCACGAACATGAGGGTATATCTCTATTGCCGAGGATTTCTGAAGTATACCCCTCATTTATTCGTAATGCTCTTAATGTATTTAATCTGAATCCTGATTCATTGACCTAAAGGTTTCCGCTTGTCTTGGATACCGTGTACATTATTGCGTGTTCCAGGGCAAGCTCGAGGTATCATTAAGTTTAGATTCTCCGATCAGGGAACGCGTTTTGTAGCTGAAGGTTGTCATGCATATGCAACCATTCAACTACGAGATTGACAAAAGCATAGTTCTACATCGAAAGGGCGTATAGATAAGAACTGGTGATAACGGTGATAGAGCACAGAAAAGAACTGGTAATAACGGGGATAGTGTTACTCTGACGTTTAGGCTAAGAGAATGTGGGGTAGTATAGGTCATACGGGAAGAAACCTCTCACAGTTGTCTCTCAAGAAAAAAGACTCTATATACCTTCTATTTCGCCTGCAAGACACTTCATTATTCGTTCCGATATCTATCACACCTATAAGGCAGATTCCGAATCACAATAACCATGACTGATTCAATCGCCTTTGAAACTGACCTTAGTCCTGTCGTCTCCGCCGCATTGAGCATTGGTGAGGTGGGGAAATCTCTCACATCCGGTCAGAAATTCGCCATCTTGACCAGAACCGGTCACAGTGGGTTGCAAGACCTCGACGATCTTCCACCAGAGGCCGCCTACATGATCACTAAGGTTGAGGAGTTACCAACCTCTGAGGCTATGGAGATTTTGAAGGAAGCCT